TGCCCCCGCTGCGCCTTCGCCCGCGAGGGACAGCTGGTGTGTGTGTGTGTGTGTGTCTGTGTGTGCGTGCGCCCGTGGTCGTGGAGGTGGGGCGACCCCTCCCCCACCAACCAATCAATCAATCAATCAAAAAAAAAAAAAAAGCAAAATCTAATAAAAAAATCAATCAATCAATCAATCAATCGGGGGCGGGGGAGACCCCTCCCCCACCAGTTAATCAATCAATCAAAGGTGGGGCGGGCCGACCCCGCCCCCACCAATCAATCAATCAATCAATCAACGAAAAAAAAAAAAAAAAAAAAAAAAACGTGTTTTTTTTTTCCATTTTCGTTCGATTTCGCCCAGACCCCCCCCCCACCAAAAGTTCATCTTTTCCTTTTTTTTTTTTGTGCGGAGGGGTGGGGCCGGGGATGCGCCGCCATGTGGCGTATCTCGAATTTCGAAAGTTGCTCCCCCGCGGCCGCCACGTGGCTTCAAAGTTGCGCGTCCGCAGGGTCCGCGGACTGGCCTCGTCTGCGGATTCGGCCGCGGCTGGCCGCCGCCGAGGGGGATTCATAGGCTTAAGGACAAAATGGACAAAACTAAGAAGTACTCTGAATAGAATGGTTTGGTTTTTTCAGGGGGGGGACACCATCCCTAATAAAAGGAAAATTGAAGTTATTTACATGAATTAAGTGAACGAGAAGGGGGGTTCATTAAACTGTATTTAAATGGTAATCATCCTGAAAAAGAAAAAAATCCTAGATAAAGGGAAAATCAGAGTTATTCACGAAATTTTAGTGAACGAGAAGGGGGGTTCATTAAGCTCAAACTTTCTTAGTTTTGTCAAACTAAGAAACCAGGAAGGTGTCCCTTCGTTAAAATTGGAATGATACAAAGAAAGAAGATAAGCATGACCCCTGCGTAAGGAAGACATGCATAAATTAAGAAATTGTCCAAATTTTATATATATAAAAAAAGAAGTTCGAAAACAATTTGAGCAGATTTTCTGGGTATCGTTGGTTTTGCTTCTATCAACCTCTTATAAGTTTAGCTCGAGGCAGCCAACACTGGCAATCCCTCAAGCTCGAAAACAATTTGAGCAGATTTTCTGAGTATCATTGGTTTTGATTCTATCAATCTCTTAGAGACTTAGCTCAAGGCGGCCAACACTTACAATCTCCCAGACAATTCCCTCATGAAACATTATGTTTGTCTAAGTGAGGATGCTGGATCCCATTACACAGCGTAACCGAAAGCTGGCAAATTTGTATAACAAGAAATCTAAAACCGTATATCATGCAATTATATTATGTTTGATCGAGCTCGTGGTTCTTCATTAGTATAAGCATACTACCGTGTAATGAGATGCACCCAAGTGAAATATTAAGGAATGTGTCCGATATGCTAATTTAAAAAGTCTATGCTAATTTAAAGAGTCTTGAATACAATTTCAAAAGAACGTGTACATGTATATGTGCATGCATGTGTGTGACAAACTTCATAGCACATTGTGCTAAGTTATTCTATGATACTTTCGTGCTACAAGCGACGTACTTAAAGTATATTGTCCATTAATGACAACTCATTGATTCACAGGTTTTCAAACCACTTTACTACAAGGATTTTTTTTTTTTTTCCAGTTAGTTTTTTTTTTTTTTAATTTTTGACCCTTATCTCTCTTCTCATTTCCTTATTTATAATTTAATAGTCTCATAGACAGGTATATTACACTTCCAAACTAACTCCTTTAACACCCAAAAATAATTGATTTGACTTCAAAGTTTTTTTTTTTTTCGATTTTTTATATTATTTTCGTTTATATTTTCTCACTTTTCTTGCTCTAACCAATGCTTTTAAGTGAGAGATCGAAAAATGTCATGATGCTCCTACTATGATGGCAATCCCTAATATGGAATTAGGAGAGAAGGTTAACAACAGTCGTATTTTTCATCACCACTTCAAGACACCCTTCACCACTTCAGGATGCAGTCTGCCTAAACAGGTGGTTTTCAGGGTCTTTGGACCTTTCACCACTTCAGGAACGCCTTCACCACTTCAAGATGCAACCTGTCTAAACAGGTGGTTTTCAGGGTCTTCAGACCTTTCACCACTTCAGGACTATTCAGGATTTTCAGACTGCCCAAAACTCTCACTTCACCACTTCAGGATGCATCCTGCCTAAACATGTGGTTTTCAGGGTCGTCGAACTGTTCATCACTTCAGGACCATTCGGGATTTTTAGACTGCCCAAAACTCTCACTTCATAATCTTTATTCTTAAATTTTCAGCTACCCGTTAACTGCTCGCGGGAATTAGATAGAGGTTTTGAATCTTTGGGGAAACCCATAACCATCTGGATTCGTTTTATTTTAACTAACTTTGATGATGTGTATATTTATCATTTTTTTCTCAAGATTCAATATAATCCCTTTAAAAGTTTTCTGCCTATATTCTTATAATCGAATCCGTACAAATATTGTGACCACATATATTAAGGAGAAAGTACAATTGTTCATATGTCCGAAAAATTTGTTGAATATCTGCATATTTCTCATTTGTCTTTCAAGGTTCAAGGCCATACTCGCACCAAATGTTTATAATTGAGTTTGACAACTGCCTTCACCCGAATACAACATAAAAACATTATATAGCGTGAAGGTAAGTTATGCCTTGCAAGGTCCTGTCGTGTCATTGAAACTCGCGAGAGGTGTAGCTGGCACGCTCGACGAGAGTGACATTGCTCTAAAACACTTCGCGTCCCAACTGTCAAAATGCTGCGTGAGGCGGATGGGATGGTCCCCATGCAGGACCGATGCCCTCAACGCCGCGCGACACCCTTCATGCCGCTTCGGGGAGAAAAAGTCGAATGCGCACATCTCCACCACCATCAATCCAACGGTAGCTAGTCGCAGTGCCACCAAGGCTGCCCGAAAGGGTCAAACAACGACCCTTGCACCCATTTGGGAGGGAAACATAAATCTGCACAACGAGGAATCTCGGTGAGGAGGCAGACCAACATGTCAACAAGAAGAATGTTTTTTTTCCGTTTTTTTTTTGTTTTTTTAACAAGAAAATCATCCGAGTGAGTGCTAGGGGTGCTGATAAGAGCAGACAACACTAGCATACTCGGGGAGGCTCCATCTATTGGTGGGGAGCAACACCTGCTGGAAAGCGGGTCCAACGTCCCTCAACATTTTAGGAAGGGGCATTTTGTAAACGAGAGTTATGTAACCGTGCCACGTGTCCATCCTAGTATAAATATGAGTGAACACCTGAATCGACACGCAGACACACATCATTAATTCGATGAGCAGCATTGATTGCCCTCAACCAAGGGGATTAACTGGCCATCGCAGTCTAACATCTTATCCCTAGTCTGAATCCCTTATCATCTTCAGAATCGCTCTTGCAGCACCCGGGGAGGAGGGGTATTCAGAATGGGGGCTTTGGAAAACTAATTATAGCAAAACCTTGGACAAAAGTCCGGTTCCACCATTGCACTCTATTATGTAAGGTTACTTGCACCGCATCCCCCCCACGATCCTCATAATCCACGAATCCACTTAAGTGGGGGGGCACAGTTTACACAGAGTACTCGGATTAACAACCACATGGTAACCTAATTAATCAGTCAAAAACGTGGCAGGGCACCAATCAATCACACAGGCGGCCCTGATGCCAATCATCGCCTCTTTGCCTGCCCCGCCAATCAATCACACAAGCAGCCCTGATGCCAACCCTCAGTGCACTGCCTGCTCTGACACGTGGCGTAATCCTAAATTGTGAAAAAACGCAAGAAATGAAAATCGGCAATTCCGCTTGGCAAGGAAATGAGCAAAGACCTGAGTGAACCACGGTTGTCCTGTTGCCACGTGGCCAAAACCGGAAGCGACGATCCAACTATCTAGCTTTCACTATCCCACCCCCTCACGCCACCACCCCACTCCTCGCGCCCACACCCAGCCTTCTCGTTGGCAAATCAACCCAATCTTCCTCGCCACTCGCCCATCCCCAATAGAACTTACCACCTCGTGATTGGTGTCGTTTTTGTTATCGTTGATGTTGTTGTTGTTGTTGTAAACATCGAAAGCCTTAGGACGAAGATCCAGGCCTCTACCCCACCCTGAAGCGCCGCAGTGCTATTTCGCCCGCACGAGCAGCGCCAGATACACATGAACATGCACAAACTCATCCCCTCCCCAAGAGGGCTACCTCCACCAAACATGGCAAGAATCGTGGGGGAAGCCCGCCGTACCCTGCGATTGCCCCCGTCCGAATCGTGTCAGCAATATTGTCGTTGTTGTTGGCGACCTGGATGACTTGGATGCGAACGTCATGGTCATCTTCACGAAGATCACCGTCTTCGCCGTTAGTATTGTTGTTGTCATTGTTACTGTTGTCGTTGTTGTTGTCATTGTTACCGATGTCGTTGTTGTTGTTGTCGTTGCTGTTGACGGCGTCAATGAGAGCGACAACGGTGAGACTGTCGTTGTTTTTACTGTCGATGTTGATAGCATCTTCCACGATAGGGTTGATGTTGTTAGCGTCTTCCATGATGTTGTTGTCATCATCATAGCAGCGGTCCTCCAGCGTAGCACAAAGATCTTGCCCCACCTTAAGCTCCTCGTAGTACTGCTGCATCAAGTCGTCCAATCGTGGCCAGTCTATAAATGCACGCGGATGGGGGGGCGGCCCCTCCTCCAACCCCCATGTGGTCTCCAGTAAACACTGCCGCTCACTCAGGATCCACGAGAACGACGGAACAATCGTTTCGGCAGCCGCCGATCGCAGCTTTGCCACCACCTGGCTTACACGCGCCCTGCTCACTTGGACGGTCGTAAGCCACGCATCAGCCCCCAATTCACCCGAACACGCCATCGCCAACCACCCCTCAATTCTCACCTCTTCGTGTATTACACCCCACGTCACACACCCCACGTCACACACCCCTACACACACCTAGCAACACCCCTCCTTACTGATCTCACCCTCCCTAGAGGTCCACAGATAACGCGCCACGTCGCACGCATCCGATCAGCTCAGAGGCCACGTCAGATGACGGGAGAGCCACCCTGACGTGTTGCGCGAGGAGCAGACCGGGCCGTGCCGGCCGGTCCCCGGCGGGGACCAAGGTGCAAGCGGTCCGTAACGCAGCGCTTCCCTCACCGCAGTGCGTCGCCTTTACAGTAGTCCACACCGACAAGAAGAATGGTCACATGCTTCCACTTGTAGGAATCTTACTGTCGGCACCGAATTTCACCATTGTTGGCGAGCTCGAGCTCGGGCCACTCATAATCTTCGGAGTTTCACCATACTTCTGCTATCATGTCACTGGAAGGCGCCAGGCGGGAGTTTCTCAACACAGTCAATGGGGGAGAACGCTAGGGGGAGCGCTAACTAAGGAGAATGTGAGGGGGGCAAAACAAAATCGGGGTGGAATTGGATGGTGTGCACAAAGGATCGATCCGAGGAAGCGAGGATGGCTAGCAACACTTGGGAGTGAGATGTTGCGGGTAGTGAAAGGACAGATGATAGCCCACCACCTACTGAGTTCATAGTCAGTCCCTTCCAATGCCTCGAGGAGGAACCTAGTTGATGACCATGCTGTTGACAGGTGGGAGACAATCTGCTACAGATGATAAATCAAGGGCTCATTGTGCCCTGAGGCATGGGTGCCTTTTGGGAAGGAGCCCTGAGATGACTGGGGTCTGAAGGGGGACTGTCTATTCATCAGCATCAGAGGGTGAGGGTCCGAGGATGGAGGTGCAGGAGTGGGGGTAGGAGTTCTGGGTGTGGAAGTGGGGGTGGGCACTTCACTGGGTTGGGGGTGCCTGCGCAGGTGGGGGTCGGCGGTGATGAGGTTGGGGCATTTTTTCTCAACCGTTTTGAAAAATAAAAAAAGGTTACGTGCATTCCACTTCACTGGGAATCCAGAGATTCTGAATTTTCATGCCTGCACACCTCCAGGGTTGTAGGGTTGCGGGGTTGAACATCCTGGTGCGGGGGTCAAACCCCAACCCCGACTTGGCCCCCGGGGATCCTTGCGTGACAACACTGCTGCAATGCCGCGAGGAAGCGAATACTAGAGGTCACGCCAAGTGGTTGGGAAAGGAGTCGATGCAAGCTAACGGGTAACGATGTAGATGACCTCACACATAACGGGTCAGATAAGTTTCGGCACACACCATTGTGAAGGCATAAAGCACTAGCAGTCTAAGCATAGGGTGAGATACTCAGAAAGAGGGAGAGTGCACAAGGAGAGCGGGGCCAGCATCGAGGGAGTGAGGGAGCTGAGGAACAAGTGAAAAATTAAACTTTCTGTATATAGTCTGTAGAGTTTTCCATCTGGTGTGGGTGAGTGATAGTCTACTTTGATTTTGGTTAAGGTGGATTATCACTTACAGTGTAATCAGTGAGGGGATTCTACAGACTGTTAAGGGTTCAGCCTCCTGATGAGTC